AGAGTATATATAGTGTATAGTGGAACCAGATGTGGCGTTTGCTTGTTATGTGTTGGTGTCAGGACAGTATGTACTGCACTGTAAATGTACTAGTAGGTGAAACACAGACACAGTGAAATGTGACAAACAAAAGTCCGTTTAATGTAAACAAATCCATTTCAGCACAGATAATCACTTCCGTGGGGAGCAGATTTACGGCGAAGCACTAAATGTGACTGGGCCTTTAACGTTTTGATAGCAGCTGCAGGAGTCAGGGGGTCCCCGGGGCAATCAGAGATAATTATGGGATGTTTATAATGTCATCGCCTGAGACACGCGTACACATATACGCACACGTAACCACCAACCTACTCAGCACATTCTTCACTCATTCACTGATGTAAACACAGAAAAATAAGATCCAAGATTGAGTTAGATCCCTCTTATTACCTCTGCCTAAATGTTTTCAGTTTGGTTCGTTTGTCAGCAGGCTCAAAGTATTCCTAGCCAGAAGACCCTTTCATTCTGCACGATGATGGATTTCGACTGAAAATCTAGACGGTACAACCTCAGTTTGGGTCCCATTAGCTTTTGGAAACCGTTCAGATATTTGTATCTGTGATTGATCGAGAGTGCCCGTTTACCCTAGAGCCTGCTGAGAAGTCATGAGTAGCAACTGCTGAGACATCCTCTAAATGAGTGATAAAGTGTCATACCTTTCATGTCAGAGGTGCACAATACTAACTGGTTGATAGTGCACAAACAAGATCATGTATCCACACACACATGCTGTGTATGGAAGCACAGAGAGGATTTTTTTTATCAGATAAAATAAATGTTTTTCTGCAGCAACATCCAGTTTGCAAAAGGAAACAACATCTCACCACAGTGTCATTCATTTATGATACTCGCATCGATGCATTGCATTTAATTTGACAATGAGTGAAGTAAATGGGGGTCAGAGCTGTTTGAACTTTTACTGTAAATAACTACAAAATCATAAACATGTGTGCGAAACTCATGCACACACAACCACAAGTGGCTGCCAGATTGAACAGCTGGAGCGCCACATGCTGGAAGTACAAAAATACATCTCACAGGACTGCAGAACATCACCATGGTCCGTGTAAGCTGCATGTCCTTAATAAGTCTGATCATAAACTTGAGAGCAAAAATTATTTGAACTAAATGTGCACCAGCAACAACAAACAGACACAACATGTTGCCCGACCTTTTGGACCCCTTGTGGGTGACTGGTTTGCATGCACGGTGAAGCATGTCTGTATGCACACACACACACACACACACACACACACACCCTCTGTCTCTCTTCTGGCTGTTTCATTATCCAACAAAAGCAAACACTGCTGTTAAACACAGCTTGGTAAAAAGTGTGTGTGTGTGTGTG